AGAATTCAAGGAAAAGCACAGGAAGTGGGTAGTATAAGGACAATTGTGGACATTTTGCTACTGAACTGGCAATGAGAGAAAAGAAGCAGAAGCTTCACTAAGAACGGCTCGAGGAAGACATCTACCTTCTGAACTCCAAAACCTTTTCTGTGAAACTGTACCCTGGCTTCTAGAGGACCCAAGTTGAATTTTTGTATGTTTAACCTGAAACGTGGAAACATTACATTCATACTTAATTAGCCCATTTGGAAAATATTGATCCGAACGCCCCATTTTCTAACAAGTATTTTAATTAGCATTCCAATCACTGTATTATTAACATGGTCCCCATAAAATTAATCAGTCTCCTTTAGGCTTTAAAGATGTCAGTTTGATTACCTTAAAAACAATTAAAATGAGTTGCAATTCTGTATCAGTCTTCGAGCCATGTATGAACTGATGAACGGTCTCAAGTCATCATACTTTAAAATGCAACCAAACAGGTAATTATCATATACCATCAAATATAATTACACGTGCTAATCTCCATAAAATCCTACAAGTTAACATCATATATTAGCAGTTAATCATATAGTTTAAATGGGTCCATGCTGCATTTTTATGAACTCTCTGATCTGCATGAGTAAAACATTCAGAGTCGGGGAGAAAGGAATGCCAATGATGCTCAAGGGAAACAGGATGTATTTCGTATTTTGAAACATGTGCCAGTCCTATAAGAAAGCAGGTTCTAATTCAGGAGGCTGGGCTAAGAGTCTAGAATCCTAAGAACCCAAATGGGGCTGGAAGGCACCACCCGGAGAAACTGTTTTGCTTCTGTCCATGATTATCCTCTGGAGGCTCTGCAGATAGCCAGATTGAAGGACTATCTCATCTCCCCAAGTGCTTCTCATCTGCCCCCACCTCCTCCCCATCCCTGAACAACTAACAGCAAAGACATTAGGAGGAGCTGGTTGGTTTCCTTTGACTTACAAGTCCTGGCAGTTGATGCACTAACACTAAGCTCCATGACATAACCCTTCTTTCATTGCTAGGAATTATAAATCAGTCCATCTGATAATGCGCTGGAAGAATTCTTTTGTATCTATTTAAGCACTTCCTGCCTTGCTTCTCTGTTGAAATGGGAGGTCCTGGATGAAAGCTTGTTGTTGAATATTCTTCTCCACCTATTCGTAGATTTGGCGTGAAGGCTATGCCCACATTATAAATGTTAATTTAATCTTTTAAAGGTTTGCTACTTAAACACAAGGAAAAGATAGATAGATAGATCTATTTTGATAGATAAGGACCCAGGCTGATCTGTAGCATTTCAAAGGCTTGACAGATTCTCTCCTCAAAGTAGGAGGGAGGTAGAGCCTGTGGTGGAAACAGCCTCTCTTCAGTGCAAAGATAATGAACTACGGTTCCAGTGGTGAGAAATTGTCCACGAGGTTGGGTCGGGCTTTGGCAGCGGGTCAGAGAGCGGTGTGGCCCTCACCCTGGGATGTGCTCACACCAGAAGAGCTAAGGACACACCCCCAGTGACTGGAGGGCCGAGGAATGTGCAGATGAGCGAGTACAAGAACCATTTGCAGGTGGAGCAGACGAACTGGCAAGGCAAGAGGACTACAACTTGGTTTTCCAGATTCCCAGACTCAAAGAGCTCAGAGGTCAGCTCTCTCATAGCTGGTGGGGCTTAGAAGAAACTATTTGGACCCCCTTTCCTGGAGAAAGAACAGCATCAGAGCAAGCTCAGCTCTGAGTGTGGAATTGCTGCCCATCCAGGAGTTCTGTCTCCTGAGAAGCGGGACTGTGGGGCAGCTTGGCCAGGTGAGCAGCCAAGTGGAGTCTCGCTAAAAGATGAGGTTGCCCCTGTTGTCAGCAAAGGCTTCATTTTGGGGGAATAATTGTTCTGAGTGAAATATCCACTTTGTGCATCTGTTAAAAGCCAGTTATGATTATTCATTTCAGTTATACAACCACAGTTTTTTGGCTTTTTTCTTGAAGACTTTATTTATTTGAGAGAGAAAGAGAGCACACAAGCAGAGGGAGAGGGAGCAGAGTCCCCACTGAGCAGGGAGCCCCACGTGGGCCTCTGTCCCAGGACCCTGGGATCATGACCTGAGCCAAAGGCAGATACTTAACCATCTGAGCCATTCAGGTGCCCCAGAATCTCAGCTTTTAAGTAAAGGATTTAATTTGCTTTTGCTTTGGATGTTTGCTGATGCTGCCTGGTCTGCAGATGTATTTGTGGTGCTGTCTCCATTCAATCTGTCTTCCAGAAAGTAATTCAAGGAACTTCAGAGACTTAAATCACCCTACTGTAAGGCTGAAATATGGTTTACAGAGAGAACTATGAGGAGGGAAGTGGGGGAGGGTCTCAGGTGCGAAGTAAGCGATCTAACACCCACTAACCACTCTGCACAGACAGCAGGCTGAAGACATGCCAACATGGCGCTTCCTGTCATTTCACCCAAAAGGGGAGAGAGTTATTTTTCCATGATTTAGAGATGAGTATCTCATGCATGGGCATGCTAATAGGTGTTCCTAAAATTAAACACTGAGAAGCCATCCTTAGGTTCTAAAGGCCACTCGTATTCCTTAAGAAAGAAAGTAGCATCTGCTAATTGTGTTGGCTGTTTACATATCACAGTGCTAATCAAATTCTCAAAGCTTAAGTCTGAGTGGGTGTGTGGGTAAGGTGGAATCAGGGGAGGAGGGGGACAGAGAGAGAGTCAGAGGGGACATTTTTTTAAGGATTGTATTTATTCATTTGAGAGAGTGAGGCAGTGAGAGAGCACAAGCAGCAGAGGGAGAGGGAGAAGCAGGCTCTCTGATGAGCGGGGAGCCCGATGCGGGACTCGATCCCAGGACCCTGGGATCATGACCTGAGCCGAAGGCAGACACCCAACCAACTGAGCCACCCAGGCGCCCCTAGAGGGGACATTTTCAGGGAGGAAGTGACCTTCCACTTTGACCTTTCCAAAAAAGTAGAAGCAAAGGGAAGCATCGTGATTCTAGAGCAGAATGCCCATGGGGATGACACAGGACATTCAGGGCACCATTGCACGAGGAAGCACTTCTCATGCTGCTTCCTAAAATCCTCATTTACTCACTAAATACAGGGCACACAGTCACATATGTCTGGGTGATTCTGATGGTCCGTTTTTGGAGATGTGTCACTGGAGCTCACAAATACAAGATTGGGAAAAGTGCAGGAAAGGACACTGTCAACTGTCTGCTGGTTTAGACAATGTGTTTTGGCATAACAGCTACAGGAAGCCCATGTACTGTGCTCCCCCAAGGGCATCTGTAACCATAGTAAACATTTCACAGCACCTTCTCAGGGAATGGCCTTTCCCTATTGCAGGGGCGGGGGTCAAGAGTAGTCCCACGGGCCTGGCCAGGCTGATGGGGTCAGGCATGGACCTCACCCAAGCTGGACTATCACATTCCACTCCCTGGGATTCAGAACTGAAGCCAAGAGATTTCAGTCGGTCTCACCAAAAGATTAGAACTGTAAGAGGCCATCAAGTTGGGAATCAGAAAGTAGCCAGGTCCTGTTCCACAGATGAGCAAAATAGGACAGCAGAAAGAGAGAGAGAGACAGAGACAAAGAGAGACAGAGACGGGCAGAGAGGGCAGAGAGAAATAGGATGAGAGCCAGAGCCTCTGCTCTGGTTTCTTCCTCAAGCTTGTCTTCATCCATATCCATTGGCTGCACAAAACACCCCATCCTGTCTTTCCAACAAACTCCCACTTTAAGCTGAATGTTTGTTCCTGTTGCCTGAAACTAAAGAATGCAACCAATACAACAGTGAAGCAACATGACTGGGCTCTGGGAGCTATAACAATCTGATAACAGCTTTTAGCATAGATTAGAATGGGGGGAGAAAACAACTAAAAGCAAAACACTTTGATGTAGTAAGGCATAATAATTAATTTTCTCCTGGCTTAGACTCCGCAGTAACTGGAAAGTGGTCTGCAGGAGTTGGCTATCACTCTATGGGTCATGCATGCAAATCAGGGACATCAGGCTCAACGCACTCATTCGTGTCCAGCTGGTGGGCCAATTACGGACGCTTCTTATCCGAAGTTCCTGCTGCCACTGTGCTAATGTTTAATACTTGCACTGTTGCATCATGTAGGCCTTTAATTTAATTCACATTGACCCTACTTTTTGTGTTCCTTTCTCTGTTCCAGTCATGTGAGAGAAATTTTACCCATTTGTCATACATGCATTTAAGGATTCTCCAAGAACCCCCTTGAGGTTGACTTGGGAAATAAACGAGCTAATATCTGAAAGCCCTTGCAATGCCTGGCCCACAGGAAGTGAATTAGTGAAGGTCTCTTCACTGCCTCTATACCAGCCACATGCTTCCCATCCCAGCCCCCTTGCCTCTCTCTGGGTGCGGACAGGTGACCATTTCTGGCCAATGTGCGGGGAACAGCAATGGCATGGGTTATCTGTAGACTGAAGCCAGGGAGTGGGTCTGTGTTTGCTGTGCCCTTCCTTCTCCTGTTATGCTGTGATGTTTGGAGGGGAAGGATGAGCGCTCTCATCAGACTTGGTTCTTCAGTGACAATGAGGAGCAGAGCCTTCCTCTGGCTGGTGCTGTCCCAGTGAGGTGGGCAAGAAATAAGTTCTGATAATGTTCAGTCTCTGCATTCTGGGATCATTGATAGCAGAGAATAATCTCTCCTGGCAAGAAATAGCAAGCTGTCTCATGACTCTTGTGTTCTTCTTCTTCTTCTTCTTCTTCTTCTTCTTCTTCTTCTTCTTTTTTTGGGGGGTGGTGTTTGTTTTTTGTTTGTTTGTTTTGTTTTTTGAGGAAGAGAGTGAGAGAAGGGAGGGCAGAGGGAGAGGACAGGAGAGAATCCAAGCAGACTCTGCCTTGAGCATGGAGCTGGACGTGGGGCTCCATCCCAGGACCCTGAGATCATGATCTGAGCTGAAATCAAGAGTCAGACGCTCAACCTACCGAGCCACCCACGCACCCTCAAGACTCTGGTGTTCTATCTAGGTAACTGGGGCAACATTTCACTAAGAAAGGGAATTCTGAAGAATGGTCTATGAACCCTGGAGCTCCGTAGGCACTCTCTTCATCTGGAATCCCTAGCCCTCCTTCCCTGCTGACCTCCTTCTCCACAGAGCAAGCCAAGAGCAAGAGGTGGGCTGTCCTGAAATCCCTCGGGCTCCAGCAGCCCCGGCTCTGCCCTGTCTGGCTGTCGTGCTGGATGCGGGGTGAAGTCCCCAAGGCTCAGGAGCTTCATGCGGACGCAGACTTAAGAGAGGGACTCGTCCCAGTGCGGTAAAAGGTAAGAGATGGAAGACAACACAGCACCCCGGTGCCTGGAACAGCGACAGCTGTCAGCCATGACAATGAGTTCGCAGATGCGCACCTGCGGGATCCCATGCACTGGCTGGGTCCCGGGGCTGGACCTGGCCTCGGGACTTCTGCCGTCGCGCCGGATGCCCCTTCAGGGGGGCTGACACTCCCCTGGGTTTTGGTCACAGAACTTTTCCTACGTTTGCACGTGTCTGTCTTTGAGTCCCTCTAGAGGGAAGTCCAGTGAAAGCAAGAAATAGTGTACGTGTCTCCTGTGTAATTCGCAGGGCTAGCAGAGTCTGCCTAAAGAAGCGTTTAAGTTGTCTTTAGGCAGTGAGAGCAGAATGAGTTCATAAACAAAGGCGTTTTTTTTTTTCTTCTTCATACCGGGTTTTTGATTTTCTGGAACGGCTTGATATAAACCACCTGCTCGGGTCTTTAACAAAGGGCAAGGTGGCAGACCAGCAGGCCCAACTTCCTTAGCCTGCCTCCGAATGCATATAATTTCTGGCTATTTACAGAGAGTGATTTCAAGTTTTATGGGCGTGCTGAGAAAAAATGGCAGGAATCTGCCTGCAGGGAAGCAAGACCTCAGCAAAGTGACAAACGACCTAATGGAGGGCAGTTAAGCCAAATGTCCTTGGCAAGGAAATGCTTGGGCCCTGCCCAGAAACCCGATCTTTGGGTTTTAAGTTTTGCTAATTTGCAAGAAGGGGGAGGAGGGGCCCAGACCTGTTGCTAAAATGAAGACCAGCTTTTTTAAGGAAGACCTGTTTCCCCTCCTGAAAATAGACCAGTGATCGGGTGTGTTAAGGATCCAACTAGTTGCTGGGTTAAGTGGGTGAGTTATAAAGTCAAAGTGTGTGTCAAACAGGTGTGAGCATGGAGTGAGATGTAAGTTAAGGCCCTTAAAATCATGTATTTCTTAAATTGCAAAAGCCCACTGAAGTTGGTGGTGAAAATGCATTTGCCTCACAGAGCGGTAGGGCAGAAACACAGGCAAAGCCCAGCCAGGATGTAATGCCCCAGTCACAGAGCCCCTCACCGTCCTGACTCCATCCTCCCTGTCCTAGATGATTCTCGTGGACTTTGTGTTGATTTATTTCACTCTTTTATTGTGATGATGATGATGATGATGATGATTGGTAAACGATAGAATATGCTTCTCTTTTCAGATTTACACCTTAACTCAAAGCCTGACTTTTAGGAACAGGCTCTGCTCTGCTCTTACGCTAAATATTTGACAATAGCATCCCATGATGGTCTGTCTACCTTTTGGGGTCCTCCCAGCCTAGTCTCAGTCTCATCTCATTCACCCTGCCTCTGCAGAAGCTCAGTTTTGAGTACTCCTTATTTAGGAATGTCTTGAGGAGCCCTGAACCTGTGTTGCCCACCGTGGAGGTAGATTGAAAATTGTCAAAGCCTTTTTCAGAAGGTGAAATGTTTACATGTTTTTCCCCTGTCTATGGCTCATCAGTAAAATCAAACATCGTAATATTGACGCCATTGTTTCCAGCCAGGCGGCTGCCACACCGGGCATGGTGTGCGGATAGGTCAAATGCCTTGTGATGGAAGGCAGGACAGACATCACGAGCTATTGCCTACTTCGACCAGAGAAGGATGGAGTCACTGAGAATTCTGAGTCTGACAGGATGAATTGAGCAGATAAGAAACAGGGCTATCCAGGGACCTTGAGGACCTGGACATCTGTTAGAAATTTCATTCGGCTAAAAATAGAGCTCCTGGTTTCCTCTCCTGCCCGTCCTGGCTCGCACGCAGAGAGCACGGCGAGACTGGATCGGGCCAACGTGTTTGTTGCCCAGCTCACTGCATCGAGGGCACACGCTGTCATCAGGCTGGTGTGCCCATCTCCCCCGGGGGCTCAAGGACAAGCTGAGCTCTTTAGGGGAAGCTTTGTTGCGGAGCACTCAAGAGCAAGGCTGCCGGAGTCTGATCAGCCTGATTTTCATTCCCTGCTCTTCCTCCTCCTGGTTCTGCAACTTTAGGAAAGTTACATAAGTTTTAGGAGCCTCGGTTTCCTCTTTTATAAAACACTTCATCTTCGTCTTCCCTCCGTTAAGTCTCTAGGGAGAAGAGCATCTTCCCTGCTTTCCTGCTACTTAACCCAAGTGAGGGCCCCTCCCTGGCAAAGACGGCCTCCTCCTTGTCCCCGAGATCTGATCTTCTCATCTCTCAAGGAGGCCATCACTCCAGTGACTTTTCTCTCCCGAAATGCCAACCTCAACCACCAATGGAGCCTTCTCATACCCAGGAACCATAACTTAGTATTTTCCAAACAAAACAAAACACAGCCGACAAACCCCAAACTCTCTTGACCCATCTCCTCCAGGTCCTGCCTTTCTCTGCTCCCTGTCTCAGAAAAACTCCTTGAAATTTTGGCTATGACTCTTCTCTCCATTCCCTCTCCCTCCCTGTCCCCCGTGGTTAATGATTATTCTGTGATTATGTTGGTCCTGCGTTGCTTGGTTTTCTGAATTCTCATTGCAAATCCATTCAGACCCTTAACCCCAGTGGTACTTCTCTGGGTGTATTCAGATGATCAGGTTCGCCTCTGGGCTAATCCTCTCCTGGAGCTTCTGGATCCTCTCAGTCTGGACTGACCGCCTCTGTGTGAGGCGCTCTGCCTTCATCCTGGGGGTCTCCCTTCATCTCTCCTGGCTTGCATCCTGTTTTCTCATTTCCACAGCCGCTTCTCTCTTAGTTCACATGTTCTTTCGGATAGAGTACATTCTCTAAGCACCACCTGGAGATACATGCCTGGAAAACCATTTTTTTTTTTTTTTTTTTAGATTTTTATTTATTTGACAGAGAGAGACACAGTGAGAGAGGGAACACAAGCAGGGGGAGTGGGAGAGGGAGAAGCAGGCTTCCCGCCGAGCAGGGAGCTCTATGCGGGGCTCGATCCCAGGACCCTGGGATCATGACCTGAGCCGAAGGCAGACGCTTAACGACTGAGCCACCCAGGCACCCCTGGAAAACCATTTTCTTTAGGCTTGTTAGCATTCACAATTAATAATTGAGTATAGGATCTTAGACATTTTTGTTTATTTGTTTTGCTTTGTTTTTAGGGTTGTAAAGGAAGCTGGCCATTGTCTTGTAGCTTTCAGGGTTGTTAAGAAGTCCAAAGTCATTCTGGTCTTTGATCTTCTGTGTATGACCTATTTTTAGGTGTTTTTCCTCTGGAAGTTTGGTGCGTCCTCTCTTTGCTGAAATTTCACAACATAATTTGTTGGTGTAAGTCTATTTTCATCTCTTGTTGTGGGCTTTCATTGGGTCCTTCTGTTCTTGGAAATATGATCGAAGTATTCCTTTGATATTCTCTAACTTGCATTTTCTCCTTTTCCTTTCGTCTACGATTCTTATTAACTATAAGTTGGGCACCTGAAACTGGTTCTCCAGCTTTGTTGAAAAAATCTTTTTTCTCTTTCTTATCCCTTTTTTCAGTTTAGCTGTTCTTTTCCTTGCATGTCATCAACACACCTACCAAACATTCTCTTGATTAATTATTTTATATCATGTTTTAAATTTCTAAGTGCTCTTTTTTGGTATCTGCATTTTTCATGCACGCACACACACGCACATGCACACACATCTCACATGTTCTTGCTTCTTAGATGCAATGTTTTCATTAATTCCCAAGGACATTAATGCTTTGTTTGTTTATGTTTGGACGTTTTCTTCTCCCTTCATCATCCCTGTTTGTTCCAAGTGGCTTTCCTTTTATGTTTGTTATTGTTGATTTTCTTTCTTTTGCCTTTTTCTTTTCTTTTTTTTTTTTTGCAATTTGTTTTTGTGTGGGTTTCTATTATTTTCATGTTAGAGGCTTCTCTCAGATGTCTGAAGATTCTGGCTGATCATCATTTTGCTGTCTGGTAGTAATTAAATGAAAAATTAACTAATTTTCCCGCAGCCAGATTTAGATTCTGTCTTTTGGAATGGGAGCCACTGCCATCCATATGCTCGGAAGCTTCTAACACGTGCTGTCTTTGCCATTCACATTATCCTTTTAATTGTGGGTTTGTGTCCAATAAAATCCCTTTACAGTTTACCTTGTTTACTTGGTTTCAGACGGGGAAGTTGATGTCTGTGCTCCTCCTGCCACTGCTACCTGGAGGTCTCTCTCACTCCTCACCCCATGTCAGGTGGAGTCTCCCCGCCGCGCCTCCTGAAATGGCTCTTGCCAAATTTACCAAGAGTCTCCATATTGCCATATCCAAAGGCACCTTCCTTTGACCCGCGTCCTGAAGTGGCCACTCCCTCCTTCTTGAAACGCTTCACTCTGGAGATGGCTCAGCTATGATAGCTCGGTCGTCGCCATCCCAGACGCTGCAGCCAGCTGGCCCTCTGACCAAATCAGGGCACTCTGACAGGAGGCAGAATCCCAGTCACGTGGTCCGTTTCAGATGGTGCACATTCATGTCACCGTAATAGACCCTCTCCCTCCCACCTCCCACCAATCGCCGCCTAGTTGGTGGTGCTTTTCAGCATGGGGCAGGGAGACCCCTGGTGTCCCACGTCTACTGCTGGGGTCAATCCACACAGAGGGGAGTGGACCAGCCGTGCCACACGCTCACTGCCTCTGAGCTAAGCACCAAAATGAAATCTAAAAACAGTATTCGGAGGAGATTACTCTTGGGTTTTTGTCATTGCTATCGGAAAGTAATGAAAGCTTGGCATGTATTTTTAGCAAAACCTGCTGTGTGTGTGTGTGTGTGTGTGTGTGTGTGTTTTATAAACTCCAATAAATTGTTTTATGTGCCCTAATAAACTGCTATAGGGTTTTATCAGGGATCAACATCATAATTTCTCCTTGAAATCCAGGAGAACAGCCAGGGTGCGGCACGTCTCGCATTCACGAGGAATCCTCGGTGGTGTCCTGATCCGTCTGGGGGTTCTAATGTCCGCTGCCGTTCATTAGACACAGGACGTACCCACCCACTCATGCCCATCCGAAGAACGTAACTTCACCTTTCCAATTCGGAGATTCTGCTCTTTGGTGGAAAAGATTGAAAACCAAGAAAACGAGCACTTTCGCTTTTTCTCTGTCACATGTCACCCTCATACCTCTTTCCCAAAGTGATCGTTCCACAAACCTAGGGAAATAAAAATAAAGTTTATTTGTTCATTTAACCTTTTTTGACAGGCCTCATGTTTTCTGCACTTAAACCTTCCTTCTGATATTCTTCTGCTATGGTTTGATTAAGCTTAGCAGAAACTCTGTTTATATACACAGGTGTTTTTAACTATGTTCCCTCGATGCATTCTCCCTCATTTTGGATTTTTTGCATTTGGGGATTTTTCCCATTTTAGATTTTTTAAAAATGTCTTATTTATCCTCTGAGGTCATTAGTTCCACCTTGAAGGAGGAAGGACCATCTCACAGACAATGGTCATATCATGACAAACACCACCAGGCTCAGAGGTGGCAGAGCAAGAGTTTAAATCCAGGTGTGTGGGACTCCCTCCCGTGCACGTGTGTAGATGTGGAGAACGAGATAAGGATGCATGGACTCTGTCCTTGTTCTGAGTGTGGCCTTGGACAGTGGGGTTCCAATGTGCTGTCAAGTTTGGGAACCACTGTCCTGAAGCTTCTCAGGCCATCCCAAAGCAGAGGGTCCTGTTTAAGAGGAGAATCATGATCATTTCCACAGATCTCACTGTGGGCTCGACTTGCAGATTGCCATGGTTGGGGGGGGGTCCAGTTCTTGAGAGAAACGGGTGACAGCAGCCTCAGCTGCTGCCTCTGATCAGCTTCCTCTGTGGTTGCAAACGTGACCTGGGTAGCAGAGACAAATGTGCACTTGGATTCTAGTTCAGCAGGATGGGCTGTTCCTTGGAACAAGGCAATGAGACGGCAGCAGCGAGGGTGACCCTGTGCTGCTCCATCTCAGCACAGAGTACTGATTGCTGTTTGGGAGACTGAGAAGCAGACCGTTCGAAGCAGGGGAAAAATAAAACCAGTGTGCAGCCAGTCGGGAGGCTGGGGTGCCCTGCTGAACAGTAGCGGCAGGTGCATTCCCATTGTTTTCCTTCCCACTTGTTTTCAAAAGCTGCAAGACCACACGAACGCAGGGGGAGCGAAGGACTCTCCTTCTCAAAAGGAGGGCACACACTGCTGCTTTGCCAGGTCTCCAGTGTACAGAGGAGGGGTTCCAAGAACAACTGGCAAGAGAGGAGATGGAGTGCGGCTAACTTGTTTCTGAAGAATCGCAGATTAAAATCAATGGGGAGCTAAAATTTTGAAAACACACACACACGCACGCAAATGAGTCATTTAAAAATATTTTGATCAAGAAGGCAAATTAGGTTAAAGAAAAAAAAAAAGAACTGAGTCCTTAGTGATCTGGAAGTAAGTGTGATAAAAGCCTGCCCTCGAGGCTGTGCGTGTGCGTGCAAGCAGGCACACGTGTGTGCGTCGGTGTCAGCTGAGTGACCGTGGGACGTCTCTCCCCCAGACCCGCAAGCCAGTGTAAACATTACCCTGCAGTGGTCTGGTGCAGGGCACGGTGCATGCAGGGGTTCCTGTAAGGGGAGGGGCTGATCCAGGTAGGAGTGAAAGTGTGCCCAGCCCCAAGTGCTTAGAGGCATATTTCAGCATTGTTGGCCAAGTACAATCAATCCCTTTTTTTTTAAGAAAACCTTCAGAATGATTACATATTAATTGCGTGGTTATGCTTATCTCTGTAGGTAACATAATTTTCTTTTTCAGGGACAACTTGCCCCAATCTATGGCAAATTATTCTACATTTTGACATTTAAAACCAAGTCTATCCAGGTCTACTGTGAAATCAGCTGTCCTGAGACCTGAGGCAGAGCTGGGCTTAAATAAGGGAATTTAAAAAAAAAGGGGGGGCGCCTGGGTGACTCAGTTGGTTGGGCGACTGCCTTCGGCTCAGGTCATGATCCTGGAGTCCCGGGATCGAGTCCCGCATCGGGCTCCCTGCTCAGCAGGGAGTCTGCTTCTCCCTCTGACCCTCACCCCTCTCATGCTCTCTCTCTCATTCTCTCTCTCAAATAAATAAATAAAATCTTTAAAAAAAAAAAAAAGATATGATAGCTCCCACTACACTTTTCTTTGAAGGCACCATTTCTGAAGCCCCTCTTTTTAAATACTGTCTGATCTCATTCACCTGTTTAATGTTATAGAACAGATACAATATTTTATACAGCACAAGCCCACAGGAGGGATTCTATTATTCTCTGCAGTAACAGTATAACATGAACCAATCTAAAGCAGAGGAACTCATCCATTTCATGTGGACGGCTGAAACATTTGCCAAATTCCATGACTGCCATTTATTACTGACATAGAGAACATTTTCTTACACAATCATGAAAGCACTTTCCAAAAAGCCACTGGGGTTTATGAATTGCTTTCAAATATGTAAGTGATTTCTTTAAAAAAAAAAAAAAAAAGGAAATTAGAAAATCTGGATGCACTGCCTATTTTGGAGTAAAAGGGATGTTTTTTCTTACATTTTTAAAAATTATATTAAAATCATAGTAATTTGATGATTCTAACTAACGTTCAATTCCTTACAGCATGAGTACTGCTTTACTGATAAAAAAAAAGTAGAGTTTGTTTTAGAAATAAGATTATGTGTTATTTGAGCTTTAGAAAGAACAAAAAGAAATATGGTATTTAGCAATATCTCACGCAAATATGATTCAAATGCCAGAAATCTTTATGACATATTGCCAGTTTTAGTATTCTTATGCTAAGGATGCCAGTTGAGATGACATTACTTGTGTTGTAAAAACATTTGCGTATTACGCGGAAGACAAAATTCTATAGTTTACTCATGCTAAGTGTACACAATGCAGCCTACATTATAAAATTTGAAGTGGAAATAGAGTTAAACTTGATTCCAAACTATTCTATATTTTCTGTAAATTTAAAATAATTCAGAACAAAAAGCAAAAAAATTCTTTCTGAACAAATTAAAATAGGATAACATTAAATGTTACATTGCCATTTGACAATAGAAATAAGAGTTTAGACACTGGGGGATTTATGCACATTTTTTTCTTGAAGGAGTTAGGAGTGTGTTTAAATTATATTTTATAAACTCAAAAGTGGCACCAATTTGATGTAAGCTGAGTAAGAAGGAAAAAGAACGCATGGTATTCATATTTTGAGCTCTTACTGATTTTTTATGCATGTGTAAATGATTTCTAATCCCTGGATTGATTTCTGAAGCATGATCACTGATATTTCATTTCCCTGTCAAAACACATGGGTACAAAGAGCTATCTTTGTGTTAATATTGCCACCTGGACAACAAACGGGACTTGAGTAACTCAACAGTAGGGTCAGAGCAAAGTCAGACAATGAATTGTTATTTTTTTTTTTCTTTCAGTGCTATTCTCACTATTCTTCGGCTAGTTTTCTTACACTGTCCATCATTTTTTTGTGAAAACCTCACTGCACGTGGGCACATCATAAAAATCCCATCAACCTTGTTGTACCCTTCCTTCCAGCTCAGAAAAAATATTAGAATATTATCTTCAATTTTGTAAAACTCAAAAAGTATTGGGGAAGTCTGGCTAGCTCAGGTTGTGACTGCCCTGCTGTAGGAAAGTCTTCATGGATGCAGCTCTATTTGGGCCCCTCCTCCCTGGGCAGGAATCGGAAGCTTCACCAGCGATGGCCCACATTAGAACTGTGCCTTCCCAATACCTTGTGAGGTGATACCATCCAATGAGATTGACCCCAGGGGACCCATGTGTATTAGGTTCTGTTCATGGTTGCCTCTGCTCTCTCACTCATTTATGCTCTTCAAAAATAGAGCCTAAATTTCATTTTCCAATTATAGTAAAGCATGATTTATTTTTCAGTTCACTGAAGAACTGGAGGTCTATTATACCACCCAGCTCCCTTGACTTTGCCAATTCAGACACTGGAATCTAAAGAAGTTCAATATCCTTGTGCTAGTGAAACTCAAGCTTTGTCTTGTTTTATTTTTTACAATCTTGCTTGCTTTCCTTAAATTTTGACTGTTTTCCCTGTTTCTGTACAAATCCATGAGGACTCACTAGAGAATGTCTGTATAAAAATCTATATTACACATAGATACATAGATACAATCTATTTGTCACACTAGGACATATGTCTTTCGATAGCCCATATATCTGCCAAAGACACATAACTAACTAAGTTAGGCTCAGAAACCTTACAAGCTGTTGTACAGAGACACACCTCTCCCTTTGCTGTGCACACAGTGGAGCGTTCACAAAACCAAACTTCATGGGCATGGGAGAAAAGCTTTAGCAATCAAAGCAATCTTAGTCTTCCGTTACATTTCTGAGTTCATCTTGTTTCTCCCAAACCCTAACAAAATTAGGGAACAGCTCAGGTACAAGAGCAGAGTAGAACCTGAGCATCAGTACAGACTCTGGGCACTGAGTCTTGGATGGAAGGCAATGACCACGGGCAGGGCAGGTCCAGTAATGGCGCCCAATGAGGGCTTCTCACAAAGAGGGGGTTGACAGGTGCTCAGGACACTTGATGGTGCCGGAAACTCAAGTGGGATGCCTATTGAGGGGGGTGCTCTATTCCAGGTTAGATAGAAGCTTAACAAGACACTGTCAATGATGTATTTCACAGACACACTGGAGCGCTCACTTAAAAGCAGTCTCTCCTCAACCACATTGCCACCCAAGCCAGACACACCACTGCGGACATCCCAACGTGCAGAGAGCTGGGTGCTGGCCCCTCAGAGTCACTTGGCCTGTTCGCTCCAAGTAATGCCACTATATGCTGGCTTTCGTTTTCTGGACTTGGTGCATGAGAGTTTCCTGGGAATGTGGAATGAGAACCAGATGGGGCTTACAGTTCAACTCCCCTCCCTTTCCTGTTAGTCTGAGAAAACAATTCCCTATCCTGGGAGTGCCCAACGGGAGACCATTTTGGAGCATGGCGGGGATTGTGTTGTCTAATTTCAACACGGGCAAAAAATTCACTAGCTACAAGATACCTTTTCTGATTCACTCATAATTAATTTTGTTTTAAGTGATGCTACCTAAAGAAATTAGTTTGCTCCATTTTTTTCTTTCAACTCTGGGCTTTGAATTTTCCTGAATTTGTTAAAGCCACAGTGTTTCTTCTGGACATGTTAAACAAATTGTTTCTCAAGGGGAATGTAAGAAGCTTTT